ATATATATATATATATATATATATATATGTGTGTGTGTGTGTGTGTGTGTGTGTGTGTTTCTTTTTCACAGCATTAATTCTATTGATAATTTTCTAAAGCAGAAGAAATAGTTTTGTAATGTGGTTTACCTTTTGCCAGGATTGGCCAACCACCCGTTTAACACTACTGATTTCAAAATCTTCCTCCTTAGCACATAATTAGCATAAAACCTGAGCTCAGTGGTACAACCACCGGAACCACCCTAAATACTATGTAAACAACCATCCAACTGTTAAATGTTTAGTTATCCTAAGCTGCCCCTTTTCTGTACCTTTGTCAATTTGTTTTCTATTACATGTTTCGTGATTCTTTGTCAAGCATTTTTTTATATAAATTTTGCATATATATGTATGAAACAAACACATACATATGTATATATGTATGTATACCATGCTAAGCATCAGGTTATATATGTATATATATACATATATGAATACCATGCTAAATATTAGGCTATATATATAGCATATATATAGCCTGAGGGAGGGAGAGAGTGACGAACTTTTTTATTGTTCTAAATTTATTTTTTTCGGCTGTAACATTTGTTCTTTATATATCTACTTTTGGGGACACAATCCCGGACTTGTCTATCCTAAATTGTAACGTGAACACCGCTTTCACAAGGGCCCAGTTTGATTGCCATCGGTGCCTCCTCTTGTGAGCAACAAAGGACAAATTGGAAATAGTCAGTAGGCTGAAACTCATCAATTTCCTTCGCTTGTTCGCTCTGTGCTTGGATATGAAAATGTAGGACAGTAATGGGTGCAACAGTGCAGGTGCAAGGACCTAAATGCGATTTTCGAGGGGAGGGAGAGAAGGTGGAAGCAACCCAAGATTTCGTGCTGTGAGGACTTTTTCGCTCTTAAAGACTCGGGACTGTGTGAGGATTCCGTGTGATAAGGACTTCGAAACTCGGTACTGACTGAGGAATCAGAGTCGGGAGGAGAGGGGAAAGGGGTGAAGGGGTAAAGGGTGGGAGTGGAAAAGGCAGGGGGCAGAGGGAAGGAGGGAAAGGGCTTGGGGGAGTAGGGTAAGAGACGGGGTGGGGGGGAAGTAGAGAGGTGAAGGGGCAGGGGCTGTACTGCCGTTCTTTCACATTTGGGCCCTCAAGACTCCATCTGGCGACACTTGGCAGTTGCTGTGAGATTATGGTGGCGTCATCCACTACCCACTTATATATGCTCGTTTTCAACAAGGCCTAAAATATAAACCGGGCTCCCAAATAGGCATAGCCCGGGCGAGGCTCTGCTTCGCGAATCTCAAAAAAAAAAAAAAAAAAAAAAAAAAAAAAAAAAAAAAAAAGGCCTAAAATTATTTAGTTATGTATATATAGGAAGATGGCAATACATACTATATTTTTATTATTATGCTATTAACAATGCGTTTAGTTCCACCATTGAATACTGAAAGAAAACGGAATTTGTCGAATGAACGCTTATCCTCACTGACTGGCGAAACAGTGGCAAGTCTGGGTAGGGGGGAGGGGGAGAGGAAGGGGGCAGAGGGGAAGGAGCAGGGGCGAAGGGGAAGAGGAAAAGAGGAAGGGGGAGAGGGGAAGGGCAAGTGGCAGGGAATGAGGGGAAGGGACAGGAGGGAGCAGAGAAGGGGAAGGAAAAGGGGCATGGTGGGAAAGGGGTATAAGGCAGGGGGGAGGAGAAGGGAACAGGGGTAGAAGAGCAAATGATAGGGGGAGGGGAAGGGACAAGGGGGATGGCAAGAGATAAGAGGAGAGGGAAAGGGGAAAAGACGAGCAAGAAAGAGAGGGAAGGAGCAG